TAAACACTGAGACCCGAGGCCCAGGTTCGATTGCCTTTGATGTCCCCCTCCACATTCTCTCTCTTCCTTTTTCCTTTCTTCTTATTTTCTAGGCTCTTCCGTAGGGACAATTTGTGCTTTGCTCTTATGCACTTTTTTGTTTTGCTCTCGGAATAGTGCATTTTAACACTGATGTCTCATTTACCAGCACCTGACTCCTTAAGAAGGGTGTATGATTGCTCTGTTGTTATTAAGTGTTGTTGCATGGCGACCACTTCCTGTTATCTCACATATGTATTCTTATTATTAGAGCCAAATTTACCACCCTAACTCCTCCCACAGTTTTTACACTACATAGACAGTAATATACGGAAACATGCGGATTGTTCCCGATTGGTGTGCTATTACTTTGTGGAACATTTCGCCGAATGGTTCACGAAATATCGGCGTTTTTGTGGTGAAATTGGTCCCATAGGAATGAATGGTGGAATGTTCAAAACTAGAGTGGGAGCTGACAAAAGCTAGAGTGTGAGCTGAAAAATCAGGACATGATATCTAAACTGCCATCACTCCCTCATTTTCAAGCCCACCTACACAAATCTTATATAAAAAGCTTCAGCTATCCCTGCTGCCACTAACAATGTTCACGGCTAAGCCATAGTCCTGATAGTTTTTACAATATGACCATTTGTTTGCAACTCACGCCACCCATTGACATTCATTGAAACTCCACTCTAGCCACCTCAAATTTGAAGGGCAATTTCTAAACTGCGACTGTACCTTCATTTTTAATATTTCAGAGACATAATGCATCAAAATGTAGGTCTGGGTCTTGTGATTCTCACAATATAAAGCTCTTCGGTGTAGGATTTATAGTTTTTAAACTACAACCGTTTGAAGATGGCAACTGCTAGTGAAGTGAGCAAGTTGGAGCAGTTTGTTTTTAACCGCTCTCCTCTGCCCTTGCTGTAGAATGAGTTGCCATAGGAACCCAGGTGTGTAAGCAGGCAGCAGAGTGACAAGCCACTCCACCCAGTTACTCCGCCCACTCCAGTTGTATACTACTGGTGGAGGCAAGAACACTTCACACAATTTCCCCAGAAGTTGTAGCTTTTCTAGTTTTGATTTAACGTGGTCAATGTACCATTTTGATACACCAAAAAGCTTTTATGTATCTGTTTGTAAACATGATAGTGATTACAATGTATACTTAAAAAAAATATTTTTTTTTTTCAAGAACAATTTATTGGAAGGAAAGTACAGATAGACATGTGCGGCAGGACAACAATCAGTGTACAGACCTCAGTATAGCCTAGCTGGACAAATACAGATCGGGTACCTTTACACAGTAGACAGATCAGAACAGTAGCAAGGAGCAATAGGATTTACATACAAACAGGCAAAGGTAATACAGATAGACAATAGGATTAGAAGCCAAAGCCCATACAGATGGACATATCAGATAAGAATCTGGAGCCAGAACAAGTCAGATGAGAGTCAGAAACTGGAGCCAACATGGGTTCAATAACAGGATCTGGTCAGAATAGAACAGACACAAGGGCCTAGCCCAAACACAAGAACCAGGGGTTGATTTACTAAAACTGGAGAGTGCAAAATCTGGTGCAGCTCTGCATAGAAACCAATCAGCTTCCAGTTTTTTTTGTCAAAGCTTTACTGAACAAGCTGAAGTCGATTTGATTGGCTACCAAGCAAAGTTGCACCAGTTCTAGTTCTCCAGTTTTAGTAAATCAACATCCCCGTGTCTGAAATACTAAAGTCAAAACAAACTAGCAGACATCAGCACTGGATGGGGAGTGTGAAGCACCTAAATTGCTTTAGAGCCAGTTCACACTACATGCACTCCAGTGTGTTTCTTTTTATGCATAAAAAGCGCATTGATAGTAGGTTACATGGTTTCCCATGTCATAGTTCACACGAGTGCAGTCCAGTTCCAGAAAAAAAAGTAGAACATGCTGCATTTTTTCTGCACTGAACTGTACTGGAATGCAGTAAAATGCATTAAAAATGCACCACAAATGCACCAAAACGCACCAAAAATGCACTGCAACGCACATGTCCTTATTTAAGTTGAAGAAAAAGAGGGGGGGGAATTAACCAAAACGCGTCAAAAATGCACTGGAATACATAAAAAATGCATCAAACACGCGCATACAGAAATGCATCTGGAACATATCTGGACTGCGTTTCTATGGTGTGAACCAGCCATCAAACGGATGAGACACAGGTGAAGATAGACGGACAGATCAGCTCTGATAGATTACACCTGTTTAAAAGCTTCCATTTGTTACAAAACTGGTTTTCTACCATACCTAAGGCTAGGTTCACACCTATGGAGTTTGCATTTGATCCGTTTCTGCGGTGCTTTTTGCATTTTGCACATTTCGTTTTTGATGCATTTTGCGTTTTTTTTTTTTTCCCAACCTTTTGCTGGGCAGATTCAAATGCAAAACGCATCAAAAACACACTACATGCTTTTCTGCAACATCTCCAGAGATGCACAGAGCAGCCTGGGTCCTTCTCTTCTCGGGTCCCATGCAAGCTTTCCTGGCCCCTCCCACATGTTGGGTGCGCCCACAGCAAGCAGCTTGCCATGGGGGCACCCACTGCTCTGCGTGTTCATTTACACACGGAGCCGTGGCTCGGCCCCGACCCCTCTCTTTTCTCGTTGGCTCCCATTGGTTGTGATTGACAGCAGTGGGAGCCGATTGCTCACGCTTCTGTCACAGCCAATTAGAAGAGGAAGTCCCGGCCTAGGGTACAATACATTTGCGGAAATAAGACAACCCGTTCTGAGTAAAGGTAGGTACCCACACCTGCAAATAAGGGGATTCCATGGGCTTAAACACATGGCTGGAGGTAGACTCCAAGCTATGGCACATCGTAAAAAATCCTATCAAAATGAATAAAGGGATTTCCAAGCTCTATAAACTTTTACATTATGATCGTTATCTGTCCACAATAATTAGTGTAGGCCGGTGGGAAAAGGATCTTCAAAAATCCTTTACAAGAGATAAGTGGGAGGATGCCTTGAACAGCAGTTTTACTCCATATAAATGATCTAAAATGTCCCCTAACACATCACCACTATGTTGGAGAAATTGTGGCGGAGAGGGGAACATACTTCACATTTTGTGGAAGTGCCCCAGCTTGCAATCATTCTGGAGGGAGGTTTTTGCACTTATTTCTAGGGTGTCAGATAAAGTCTCCCCTCCAGCTCCACACTTGGCCAGGGGCAGACTGACCATTTGGAAACTCGGGCACGGCCCGAGGGCCCGGGGTCAGTAGGGGGCCCCATGAGATGCCCCTGGTACCTTTTTCATAAGCTTTTTTTGAGTTTGGGCAAGGACACAGGGGCCCCATGATCCCCTATTGCCCGGGGGCCCCATGAGTTGTCAGTCCGCCCCTGCACTTGGCCCTCCTTAACCTCAAGCTTAACCTTTTTCCTAGTAAGCTCGAAAGAGCAGGGGCCTCAATCCCCTCATGTTTTGCATTGTATTGGTATTGTTCTGTCACATGTTCTGTCCCCCTTTGTAATGTACAGCGCTGAGCGAACTATTGGCGCTTTATAAATACTGTATAATAATAATAGTAAATTTACAACAATCATAGGTCACATTCTTATCACTGCTAGAGTGGATATCACTAGTAAATGGAAGTCGTCGAATTCTCCTTGCATTTCAGAAGTCATCCAAAGAGTACAGACACACTATGTGTATGAGAGGGCTCTAGCGCTCAGTCATTACTCTATGGAGAAGTTTGATGCGAAATGGTTTCATTGGAAAGAATTATCTTTGCCATTCAAAATGACTGTATAGAATTTACTGCAAGATTGCCATAAAGGATAATACGACAGCTTTGGTATCCTCTTATTCATGTGGCTGCTCTTTCTTCATTCTTCTTCTCTTCCCTTTCTTTCTTCCCATGTGGGTTCTGTTTTTTTTTTTTTTTTTCCCCTTTTTTCTTTCTTTCTCTTCTCCATGTTATCTATATGTATATATTTTGGAGCCTGGGTTCGGGTGGGCCCGCTTATCGGGTCTTATGTGAATAGATTCCGCAAAGTGCTATGCACATATGGCATGTTTCGTTTTTGTGTGATAATCTGAACTGGAAGTATAACCTCTTTATATTTGCTACCAGGGGCGGACTGACAACTCATGGGGCCCCCGGGCAATAGGGGATCATGGGGCCCCTGTGTCCTTGCCCAAACTCAAAAAAGCCTATGAAAAAGGTACCAGGGGTATCTCATGGGGCCCCCTACTGACCCCGGTCAGTCGGGTCGGGCAGTGCCCGAGTTTCCAAATGGTCAGTCCGCCCGTTTGCTACTATTGCTATTTTACGCATATATTGGCCATGTATGTATGCTATAGTGCTAAGAAAAGGTGTGCTTAACTTCTAACCTGAACCTGAACTGTTGTTGATATATTTGTGTTTAAAACCTAATAAAAAAGATTTGAAAAGAAGAGAAAGTCCCGGGATAGCCAAGACTCCAGTGCACAGCACTGGATCAAGAGGGGGCTTAGGTTAGTATTAAGGGGGCTACTGCACAGAGAAGGTTTTTTTTACCTTCATGCAAACCTTAAGCTTTTAGAACCACTTTAATGTTCTCTTTCAAGCTTTTTTTTTTTTCTTTCACTTTCACCTGTTGATTCTGCCCATAACACAATCCCAGTCCTAGAATGACAAGCATCAATCACCCTTCTGTATCAGGGCAACATAAACAATATAGGACAGAACTGCGCCATTTGTCTGTTGTCCATAAAAAAGAGGTAGGTGGTTCATTAGTCCTCAGGGCTAACTAAGGACAATTTACCTGATAATAGTCAGCACACAAAATATTCAGATCAAAAAACTTCCAGCAAGATCATCAGTTGTTTTTAACTTCTCAAACAGCTAGTTTGTGCTACTCCATCAAAGACCCCATTTGCTGTGTGTCTGTTGTGATTTAAATATAAACAATTGCAACCATCTGCATTTATACATTTTCATTATCCTCTCCACAGGTTAAAACTGTCCTGGAAGCACTTGATATTTTGTTGTCATATGGACCTTTTAAAAGTACATATCCATTAACATTTGATGAAATTAAAACAGGTATGAAACAGTTAATTCATCTTTTTTTGCATGTGCATTTAGGTGTGTATTAGGACAAAACAAAAAAAAGGTGCAATACATTCCTGCAATACACTCACATTTCCATATTCTATGCCTACATATACAGACAAATACCAGGAGATCTGCCAGAAATACATTTGCCATTGTCTTTAAGTAAATAGCAGTGACAGAAATACTGATACATTCTGTTTGGAACTTTTGCTTCAACTGAACACTTTAGTGGTTTTGGGTCAATTATATTTTATTTATATAGATTTTTAAAGAAATATTTACATACACGCACTATGTCAAAATTTTGATTTAGAATATACTGGGGGGGGGGGGATTTATCAAAATTGAAGCAGACAGAATCTCTGAGCAGTTGTGCAAAGCAACAAATCAGCTTCTATCTTTAACTTACCTTATTTTTGCTCCATAAGACGCACCTGACCATAAGACACACCTAGGTTTTAGAGGAGGAAAACAAGAAAAAAAAATATTCTAAACCAATGGACTGCGAATATAGTACAGGAGATGACCAGAGACTGCGGACATAGTACAGGAGATGACCAGAGACTGCGGACACAGTACAGAGATGACCAGAGACTGAGGACACAGTACAGGAGATGACCAGAGACTGCGGACACAGTACAGGAGATGACCAGAGACTGCGGACACAGTACAGGAGATGACCAGAGACTGCGGACACAGTATAGGAGATGACCAGAGACTGCGGACATAGTACAGTAGATGACCAGAGACTGCGGACACAGTACAGTAGATGACCAGAGACTGCGGACACAGTACAGGAGATGACCAGAGACTGCGGACATAGTACAGGAGGTGACCAGAGACTGCGGACATAGTACAGGAGATGACCACAGACTGCGGACACAGTACAGGAGATGACTAGAGACTGCGGACACAGTACAGGAGATGACCACAGACTGCGGACACAGTACAGGAGATGACCAGAGACTGCGGACACAGTACAGGAGATGACCAGAGACTGCGGACAGAGTACAGGGGTGACCAGAGACTGCGGACACAGTACAGGAGGTGACCAGAGACTGCGGACATAGTACAGGAGGTGACCAGAGACTGCGGACACAGTACAGGAGATGACCAGAGACTGCGGACACAGTACAGGAGATGACCAGAGACTGCGGACATAGTACAGGAGATGACCAGAGACTGCGGACAGTACAAGAGATGACCAGAGACTGCAGACATAGTACAGGAGATTACAGGAGACTGCATTTTTTTTTGCAGGTAAAAAAAACATGCAATTATTTTATTTTTTTTTCTGTAAAGCCTAAAGAGTATTGCACCCCTGATCAGCATATCATCGGTGCAATCCCAGGCTCCTGCAGACTCTCAGGATAGCTGTCTTCCCATACCTCATGTGGGCAAGCAGTTAATTGAGAGCAGGAAGAATCGATGAACCGATCAACTATCAGAGCTTTTACCAGCACCCTCGTAGTTCATTGAGAACTGCAGCCTGTCAGTCACAATGGCTGACGGTACTTTTTGGCTATTCATTCACAGGAAACTGTGAATAAATGACGCGGCCACGCCGGGCTTTGCCACATGGCTGTTTTTAGATTGTGACAGCGGGTGCGGTGATGTCTTGGTCCCCCGCCCACTGTCACAGGAAGGGAGGGGATCAGGCGTGCGGGGTGCAGATGCTGGAACATTTTACATGTTTCACCCTAAAAACGGGTGGAATATGTAATATGTTCTTAAAGTAAACGTATCCTATAATTTCAGAGTACATTTAGACACTAAACTGTGTAAACTTCAATAAAAACTGGAAAAATTGTTTTGCACTGCTCATATTAACGCAGTGGTTCTCAACCTTCCTAATGCCGCGACCCTTTAATACAGTTCCTCATGTTGTGGTGACCCCCAACCATAAAATTATTTTCGTTGCTACTTCATAACTGTAATTTTGCAGTGGGAGGAGTAGTGCCACATCATTGGTATCAGTGGGAGGAATAGTGCCCCATCATTGGTGTCAGTGGGAGGACTAGTGCCACATCATTGGTGTCAGTGGGAGGAATAGTGCCCCATTGTTGGTGTCAGTGGGAGGAATAGTGCCCCATTATTGGTGTCAGTGGGAGGAGTAGTGCCACATCATTGGTATCAGTGGGAGGAATAGTGCCCCATCATTGGTGTCAGTGGGAGGAATAGTGCCCCATCATTGGTGTCAGTGGGAGGAATAGTGCCTCATCATTAATATCAGTGGGAGGAATAGTGCCCCATCATTGGTATCAGTGGGAGGAATAGTGCCCCATCATTGGTGTCAGTGGGAGGAATAGTGTCCCATCATTGGTGTCAGTGGGAGGAATAGTGCCCCATCATTGGTATCAGTGGGAGGAATAGTGTCCCATCATTGGTATCAGTGGGAGGAATAGTGTCCCATCATTGGTGTCAGTGGGAGGAATAGTGTCCCATCGTTGGTATCAATGGGAGGAATAGTGCCCCCATCATTGGTGTCAGTGGGAGGAATAGAGCCCCATCATTGGTGTCAGTGGGAGGAATAGTGTCCCATCATTGGTGTCAGTAGGAGGAATAGTGTCCCATCGTTGGTATCAGTGGGAGGAATAGTGCCACATTGTTTGTGTCAGTGGGAGGAATAGTGCCCCATCATTGGTGTCAGTGTGGGAGGAATAGTGCACCATCATTGGTGTCAGTGTCAGTAGTGCCACATTGGGTGGGGGGGAATAGTGCCCCATCATTGATACTAGTGTGGGGGGTAATTGTGCCCCATCATTGGTGCCAGTGGGGGGGATAGTGCCCCATTGTTGGTGTCAGTGGGGGGAGGAATAGTGCCCCATCGTTGGTGTCAGTGGGGGGAGGAATAGTTCCCCATCGTTGGTGTCAGTGGGGGGGGGGGGGGAAATAGTGCCCCATCATTGGTGTCAGTGGGAGGAATAGTGCCCCATCATTGGTATTAGTGACACCAATGATGGAGCACTATTCCTCCCACTGACACCAATGATACTTACCTTGCTGACTCCTGCTCCAGCCTGGGCTCGCTCCCTCCCTCCCTCTCCCATCTACAGCCAGCATACCTGGCTGCAGCAGCACGATCTGCACGCTACAGACGCTTACCTGTCAGCTGTCTTCCTTCTCCGGCCGCTCCCTCGCTCGATCTTCTTTGATCTTTGCGCTGCTACTTGGCTCCTCCTCCTCGCTGGTGATTGGCTGCCTGTGTGCCTCTCCTGAGCTACAGTTTAGGCGGCCAATCACTGGCGAGGAGGCGGAGCTGTTGAGTGATCCTGGGGATGTGGCCAGATGACAGGGGCGGCATGTCATCCCGCACACACATCGCGGTCCAGGGAAATGTGGACGTATCTGCATGTGGGCGGACCCGCCTGGAGACTGATAGAGGAGCGGTGTCTCGGTTCCTAAGACCATCGGAAATATGTGTTTTCCGATGGTCTTAGGAGACCCCTGTGAAAGGGTTGTTCGACCCCCAAAGGGGTCGTGACCCACAGGTTGAGAACCGCTGTATTAACGGAAAAGGGTATAATTCCAGCAGTTTTTAAGCATTGTTGATATTTTACTTAATAATATACTGATGGCCACTAGAAGGGGAGAACCTTCATATCTGAATGTAATCAGAAGCACAAATAAAATACTGTCCAGTGTTACACACTACATATACAGGTAGGAAAATCCAGCTATATGTTTGAAATTTCTAACTTCAGATCAACATTTTATACTCAAAATAAATACACATTGAACATCCTGATCATTTCATGTACAGCAATGCCTAAGGGGACCTACAGATATTAGGTGATTGTTGCCATTTTGTAACCTACTTCTCTTTTGAGTTAATGTATTCAAAATTGCTGTCTGTTTTCTTCAGTACCAAGGCTTTGTACTGTACAGAACAATGCTACCCAGAAGCTGCAAGAACCCTACAGCACTTGCTTCTTTATTCAATGGAGTTCGGGATCGAGCGTATGTCACTGTTAATGGGGTAAGAATTTCCTTTCTATAAAATGATTCTGTATTACACAAGCACAAGCATCATTTTAAAATGTTGCTGGGATAGCGGCTTATTTAAAATAATGACGGGCCTCAGCACATTGTTGGGTCTCTGTCGGCACTAGCAGTGAAACTGCCTGCTGTCAATGACAGCCAGGTTCCAGCACTTTAGCCCAGGAGCTGAAACAATCAGTCCCTAGGCTTCTGATCATTCTACACACTGCTGTAGAAACAAATGGAAATGTAACACTTCTGTGTTGGGTTTACATGAGGACTGAAATGACATCCATACACTTCTGCCAGTACGAAGGTCTGGACAGTGCTGTTGGATCTCTGACCAGTGTCTCCTTGCAGGAGTAGATCACTGCTTTAGAATTACTATTAAAAGTCTCCACTGACCAGATCCAGACTCCCTGTGAGAAAAAAGTGAATAAAAAAGTGTAACAACAAAAGTTTAATTTTTTTACAGTGTGTGTGTAGAATGTAAACCTTTGAAAAAGTCATGTTAGTTTGTGGCTTCATCAACACAACTCACTCTTATCTTAAAGTGGTTCTAAAGTCTCAAGGTTTTTTACCTTCATGTATGAAGGTAAAAAACATTCTGTCGGTAACTGCCCCCCCCCCCCCCAACACTTACTTGCTTGAGCCCCCTCTTGATCCAGCAATGTCCACGAAAGCTTTGATTCTCCGAATACTCGCACTCCTGATTGGCTGAAGCAGCAGCAGGGTCCATTGGATTTCGCTTCTGTCAATCACAGCCAGTGATTGAATCAGGAGAGGGAGGGGGCGGGGCTGAGCCGCAGCTGTGTGTGTGAATGTACACACAGAGCCACAGCTCACGTGCCCTCATAGCAAGCTGATTGCTATGGGGGCACCCAACAGGAAGGAAGGGCCAGGAGCACTGGTGGGGGACCTGAGAAGAGGAGGATCCGGGTTGCTCTGTGTAAAACCACTGCACAAAGCGGGTAAGTATGACATGTTTGTTATTTTTAGGCAAAAAAAAAAGACTTTAGTATCACTTTAATGTTACACTAACAGCTGCAGTGTAGCACCAAATGGGGATGGAAAGAGCTACACTACATAGACGTTGCATCTCATTTTAATCAGCAGACTTTATTATATTTCTAGGGGGGGATATTTTGGGGTGTGCAAATTACTTAAAAGTTGCACTGGAAAATAATGAAAGGGAAATGCATTTTTTCTAATTTTTTGTTGTATATTTTTCAGTAAACCTCCAAGAAAATAATAATATATGTATCCAAATTTGCCCCCAAATTAAGGTCCTATCTGTTCTGAAAAAATGATGTATTATACGTTACGGTAGACTGCAAAATCTAAAAGATATAATGTGTAGAACCAAGACATCACCAGAACAAAGACTATGGGGTTAAACATAAATATACTAATAGTGCCGCACTCCCATATGAATTGTCTATAATATCTTATACTGTTATTTCCAAATCAATTGGTAAAAAATTGGTAAAAAATATGAAATAAATAAATTATATATAATACAGGAATTGATTGTCTATTGCCTATAACACCAAATAAAAAAATTATAATACATTGCTGTGCTGGTGATTCTTTGTGAAAACTACAATTAATAGTAGTGAGCCAAAGTCAATGTAGAGATGCACATAAAAAGTCCTCTTCCAATTTGAATTTCAAATGTGAAATACCACTTCCACAATCGAGGCGCAGTGTGATCTTAGTGTGCGCTCACCTTACGTTTTGCCTAAGTGTATAGGCAAATCTCGCTTTTTGTCCTTATAGGACTGATTAAATAATATTCTTACTGTGTGAGATTTAGACAATCAATTCCTGTATTATATATAATTTATTTATTTCATATATATTTTTTACCAATTGATTTGGAAATAACAGTATAAGATATTATAGACAATTCATATGGGATCGCGGCACTATTAGTATATTTATTTTTAGTCAGCGCTGTTTAATGAGTTAGTGTGAGTGTCAGCGAACCACAGGTGTGTTTTATTTTAGTCATTCATTTTATTCATATAATTAATTTGATTATCACAGGTTTTTCTACCATTGTAGCTCACAAGTATATATATATATAAATTCTTTTGTCTTATACTAAAATTGGAGAGTGCAAAATCTGGTGCAGCTCATCATAGAAACCAATCAGCTTCCATTTTGTTTTGTCAAAGCTTAATTAAGCAAGTTAGAAGCTGGTTGGCTTAGCATGCAGAGCTGCACCAGATTTTTTACTCTCCAGTTTTAGTAAATCAGCCCCTTTTGGTCTTGAGGCAGGGGTGCTCAACCCTTTGAAGAGCGAGGGATACGTAACTGATTTAGTAACTGGTCATGGGCCACGAGTAATTGAAATTTCAATTATTTGTTCATTATGTTCTTCAAAAGAAAAAAAAAAAAAATTTCCGGAAGGAGGGAGAGGAGGAGAAGCCGGCTTTCAGCAGTTGCAGGAGGAAAATTGAGTGGGATAGTTGCTGTATATGCCGCCCGTCCTGTCCAAATGTAAAACGGAATGTGACAGAGAGGCCACATAGGCCCCCTGGATCATGGGGTGGGGGTTGCCATTGCGATCCCTGACGCTTTATCAGTGGTTGGGGTGTGTGGTAAAAACACATCTCAACTATGAGGTTTTACCGCCCCCCTTTCCCAAAACGCAAATGTAAATGAGCCCTAACTGTCCTGTGCCCCCTATAAGGCTGCTTTTACACTGATGCTCTGCGATTTACCTGCTCTGCAGGTGCACAGTGGACTTTCGGCTTTCCGTCAGATTAGGTGCGCTTAGACTTCTATTATATCTTGGGGGTGTGATGCACTTTCTGAAAAAAATGCACCCAAACTCATGTATTCAGTTTGAGATAAAGGGCCACATAACAAAGCTCAGAGAGCCACAGGTTGAGCAACCCTGTCTTAAGGGTGTTTAGGGAGAAATAGACATAAAACTTAAATGGTCAAAAGCTCTAGTGATGCTAATTTTCACTAGCTAAGGTATTGAATGCTTGGCAGAGCTATGTTGTAAAACTTACCAATGATTTGAGAGGAAATGTGAATGCTTTTGTGAGCGTTACTTTGAATTGAAATTCATTTTTTGTATTAAAAATGGTCTAATTCTTTAAAAAAAATGCTTTATTATCAAGGTTTTCCAAGGCATTTTAGAGCGAGACAAAGAGATGTCCATAAATATAACTGGAACCCAAGGAGCTCAACTTGACCTGCTGGTGGAAAGTATGGGTAGAGTTAACTTTGGAAGATATAACAACGACTTCAAGGTATCCTAGTCCCTTTTATATGTTATTTATTACATTTACGTTTTAGTGTACTTAACCACTTCAATACCGGCCACTATTCCCCCCTTCCTGCCCAGGCCAATTTTCAGCTTTCAGTGTCGTCGCAATTTGAATGACAGTTGTGCAGTCATGCAATATTGTAGCCATAAAAAAAGTTATAATTTTTTTTTTCACACAAATAGAGCTTTCTTTTGGTGGTATTTAATCACCACTGAGTTTTTTATTTTTTGCAAAATAAACCAAAAAACCGCCGAAACGTTTGGAAAAAAAAAAACTAATTTTTCTTCACTTCTGTTATATTCTGTTATAAATTTTTGCAAATAAATAACCTTTCAAAATGTATTCTGCTACTTTTTTTTTGGTGAAAATACCCCAAATTAGTGTATATTATTAGGATGGTATAAAGTGAGCGCTCCTAACCAAGCAGCTAGCACTAGAGGTAATCACAGTGTACCCGTAAACAGCAGAATAATAATAACAAAGTGCAGCGCTGAGAAATTTGTGTAAATAGTAAAAAGTCCGTAGTTATCAACTACATATAAATATATAGTCCCAAGAACAAGCTGATGAAGACCAGGAAGCAATGGAAAGAGTGCGCACTCACCGGACGCGCATGGAAAATGCGCATGAATGAATAACTCCTGGAATCCTAGAGTAGATGGAGAGGGTGAATTCCAATATATAGGATCAGTCAGCCTGGGAAGATATATCAGAGATCCGGAGGTCCCCTTAAGGTTGGTGTGATTTTCAGCCAGACTCCAACAGCTCCGTCCCTCTGGTGGTGATAGGTGAGTACTACAGGGACCCTGCAAATGGATTTAGCTCCCAATGGGAACCAAGAAACAGGTGCCCATAGTGTAGTATTTTATAGTAAGTTTATTAAATGTAACTCAAAATGACAGGCAGGGTAGTAAGGCTGTGTACAGTACATATAGGAAAGCAGAGTACGCAGCAATGGTACTAACCCTGAGTTAAAATGGCCGCGGGGCTGTCTCGTGGCTCCGGGCAGAAGATGACGTCATGCTCTGTCGGTTCCTCCTTGAACCGCCAGAGCATGACGTCATCTTCTGCCCGGAGCCACGAGACAGCCCCGCGGCCATTTTAACTCAGGGTTAGTACCATTGCTGCGTACTCTGCTTTCCTATATGTACTGTACACAGCCTTACTACCCTGCCTGTCATTTTGAGTTACATTTATTAAACTTACTATAAAATACTACACTATGGGCACCTGTTTCTTGGTTCCCATTGGGAGCTAAATCCATTTGCAGGGTCCCTGTAGTACTCACCTATCACCACCAGAGGGACGGAGCTGTTGGAGTCTGGCTGAAAATCACACCAACCTTAAGGGGACCTCCGGATCTCTGATATATCTTCCCAGGCTGACTGATCCTATATATTGGAATTCACCCTCTCCATCTACTCTAGGATTCCAGGAGTTATTCATTCATGCGCATTTTCCATGCGCGTCCGGTGAGTGCGCACTCTTTCCATTGCTTCCTGGTCTTCATCAGCTTGTTCTTGGGACTATATATTTATATGTAGTTGATAACTACGGACTTTTTACTATTTACACAAATTTCTCAGCGCTGCACTTTGTTATTATTATTCTAGTGTATATTATTATATTCTCTAAAATAATAGTGCAGCGCTAACAATGCATGTCACAATTTCATACACGCATGTGAATTGAGCTCCATTTCGCATGTGAATAAAGTGCAAAAAGTGCAATATCAATATAAATAATTCAAAATGATGTAAAAAGCAATAAAAGGAGTTCTTAGACTTATTTGTAAATATTAAAACGTCTTTTGTGCAAAGATATCTGCTGAAGTAGTGCCTATGGTTGGCACGTGAAGTTATCCGAGAAGGACAATGGTGCAAGAACTTGTGAAAGGAAATCCACCCTTGGGAAGGATGTACACTCACCAGACCATAGATAATAATGCGCATGGGTTATACTACATCGCACATCTGGGGGTGCAGCGGTATGCTGGCAGCTACAGGGTCATCCATCCATCAGGGTGGGTGCCTGGTGGTCCTGGGGAGGAATCGGCTCAGCCACAGGAGCCAGAAAGGTGTTTATAGTGTAGTATTTTATTATAGTAATGATAGCAGGTAACATAAAAGTATCCACGTGGAGTATCAACAATCAATAAACTAGAGTACCAAGATGGCCGCTGCTCCTCTGGGTGTGCCCCTGATGACGTGTTATTACACAAAATACCTTGGGTGGAGCCCTATTGCTGACGTCTAGCTGCAGCGGAGCAGCGGCCTATTTTATTGATTTTTGTTACTCCGCGTGGATACTTTTATGTTTTAATATTCATGAATAAGTCTACGAACTCCTTTTATTGCTTTTTACATCATTCTTATTTATATGGATATTGCACTTTTTGCACTTTATTCACATGCGTTTATGAAATTGTGACATGCATTGTTAGCACTGCACTATTATTTTAGAGATTGCAATTCTGGGACTGTTACCTATACCCTGAGTGCTAGCTGCTATACTTTTACTCATATTGATATATATATATATATATTTTTTTTTAATATTGTATAATTGCATTTACCGCTCGCTCTATTATCTTTTTGAATATATTATTTAGTCTGTAGGAGTCCACAAACCAAGATATATACAGTTGTGTTCAAAATAATAGCAGTCAGACATCACTAACCGGATCAATCACTGTTTTTGGTAGAAATGATATTTCTACATGGCAAATAATTTACTAGCAGGTGTAGTAGAGTAATAGAAATCCAACAGACCCAACAGTCATGACATGCATGCTGCTGATTCTGTGTCATTGAATCACTCATTGAAAGGGGCATGTTCAAAATAATAGCAGTGTGGAGTTCTATTAGTGAGGTCATTCATTCTTTGAAAAACAGGTGGCAATTATTAAAAACAAATTAACTTGTGAGCCACTGAGGTATACTTGGAAAATATGAGTATTAGGTCGCTGGTTAATATGCCCACTCTCATATAATGTGCGTTTATCAACAAAATATTTAAATAATTACCGCGCTCTAATACCATCAAAAAGTGCAAACAAAAAGGTGCAAAGTGCTTATGAAATAAATAAAAGTGACTAATAAATAAATAAATAATAATAATAATAATAATAATAATAAATAAATAAATAGAAGTGACTGATGTGAATAAATAAATAAAAAAGGTATAAAAATAAAATAAATTAATACAATGATATCATACTATCAAATCACTATATGTGCAATCCTCATATAAATGTGCAAATATTCCGTCTGTAAACCACAAGAGAATTAATATAATATAAAATAAAAAGTCTACTGTGAAGAAAGCAGCAATACTGTCCCAAATGTAACTGTGCCAATGAGTATCCAGCCAAGACAGATATGCTCTCCTTCAGTGTGAGGATAAGGTCTTTGCAATAATGTTGTAAACCTGTGCGACTGCAGGGCTGTGAGGGATACTCCCTCCTCTGATCCACTCCTTAATCCTCTGCCTTTGTGTTCCTCGTATATCTCATGCAAAAGAGAAATAAAGAATATGGTGTCTTATCCCAGAGGTAAAAACAGCTTTAATGTGCTTCCATAATGCACTCACATGTCATATAATACATTAGCGCTTTTAGATATATGAAGATCCGCAACTTGCAGCTAAAACAGAGCGGTGTGTGTGTGTCCACACACCTTCAGTACTCGCCGTATAGTAGATAGAGTGCGCGGTGACGTCACTGCCCCTTCCCAACGCGTTGCGCTACAGGGATTTCGTAGCTTCGTCCGGGGGATGACATCATGGAAAGGAAGCCATCCATTGTACACAATTGTCATGATCTGCTGTAATTGGTCACAGCGGTCACATGACACTGGCAATGGGCTGGTGTAGTGATCTGTGACAGATCGCGCCACTGCGTGGCACCTTCTGACAGGACGTCACATGACGCCCACTCAAAAGGAGGAGTGTCCCACCCAGCCGTCAATCTGCTGTAGACCGAACAGGAAGATGTTAAACCCTAAATCTTACCTTTACCAAAGTGCTATGCCTAAAATACTATTTTAGGAGCGTGGATAGGACCAGATTTGGCTAAGGTGCGAAGTGATTCCACTTTTCCATCTTCTATATACCACCAGTATCTATAACGATCGATATAGACATTAGAGAGAATAAATCCAACATGGCCCATTGCTCTTTTCCCTGAGATCATTTGGATAGCATTATCTGCTGCATGCACAAAAATGTGTGGTCATCTATAGACGTGTGCCTGGCATCAAATTGAGACTACTCCAGGTTTGGAAGATCAGACAAAACAGAATCTTTTTGAAATTCCAACCAGAGGTGAAAAAGATTGATCTATGTTTTGATTGGTAACTTTTTTTTTCTTACAGCTAAAGTTAGAAGTAACATTTTCTACACCAGTAAAGCCCCGTAGAAACGATCAGAATATCGTAAGAAAAATGCCACTTTTAAAGCGATCGTACGATAATCTGATTGTTGGTACACAGCAATCGTCCGGAAAAAATAGAAGTGCAAACATTTTTATCGTACGATACTGGATCCTACAATTTTTGTTTAACCAGTACTGTAGTGTCCGCAAATACAATACAAATACCGTATTTTCCGGCGTATAAGACGACTTTTTAACCCATGGAAATCTTCTACAAAGTCGGGGGTCGTCTTATACGCCGGGTGCTGGGCTGAAACCTTACCGTACTTCCGTGCTGACGCTTCTGCGCATGTCTTCGGCAGCAGTAGACGATCGCGGATCACCATAGCTCGCAGAACTGCATGAGACGTCGGATGCAGCAGTGCTCGATTGAGCTTGACTGAAACTGTGATATGCAGAGAAGGGATACACATCGGGTAGCGGCTTCTGCGCATGTCACAGTTTCAGTCACGATCAATCGAGCACTGAACGGCTGCATCCGACGTCTCATGCAGTTCTGCGAGGAATGGTGATCAGCGATCGTCTACTGCTGCCGAAGACATGCGCAGAA